TTCACTGCGCGGCGTCCAAATTGCTTCGGATACTGTTACGCTGCCATTCCCATTGGCGTTTTCGACCTCTCTGCTGCTGCCATTCCCATTGGCCTTCTCTGTTGTCGCGTATTTTGCGAACCGTCACGCATTTTCGCGAGGCGGCCGTCGAAATCCGTTTTAAGAAGCGGGGACCCCTTTCAAAAGGTACTCAAGTAAGTCGCGCGCAGGTGCCCACTTGGAAGCGCAGGTGCGAAGGTGCGTGTTTAGGTTGACTTGAATTATGTCAATCGCCGCATGTTGCGGTTGATTTTCGCCCGAGTTCCACCGCATTGTTGCTTTTGCGATTCGATACGCTGCTGGTAACCCGTTGTGCGAGCTGTAACCGCGGGTAACCATGTCGCGAGCATCACCCCGACGTTCTGCCTCCGCCGAGGCGCCTGAGAAATCGTTCCGCCTCCGTCATTCTTCCTCTGTTCCACCGCCTGCCGTCACGCGCGCTCCTCTCACCTACCGCGTCTCTCTCGGCCATTATTTCGTTCGATGCGCGTGCTCGCGCGCGGTTCGCGCACGTTCCTTGCGCCCGCCATGAGTCGTTCCCTGCCCTCCACTCTCCGCTCCCCTCAACCCCGACCCCCTCTCTTTTTCCCCCTTCCCCTCCCCCCCGGCGCTCCCCTCCCTTTCCCCCAAATCCCTGCGCGCAGCATCGCGACATGAAGGCGTTCGAGCTGCTGGGGCTGGGCGCGCAGGACACGGTGCAGTACGCGCGCGTGGGGTGACATTTCCTCTCCCTCGTCCCTCTTGCTCCCCTCCCCTCTCTCCCCCCTTCTTGCCCCACTCTTCCCCCCCATGCGCGCAGCCATGAGGGCATTCGAGCTGCTGGGGCTGGGCGCGCAGGACACGGTCCAGTACGCGCGCAGGACACGGTCCAGGACACAGTGCAGTACGCGCGAGTGGGGGAGGTCGGGGGGGGACAACGACCATGATCTCAACCGTCCTTTCCCTTTCCCCTCGTCCCCCACCTCCCCTCCCCTCTGCGCGCAGCATTGCGCCATGAAGGCATTCGAGCTGCTGGGGCTGGGCGCGCAGGACACAGTGCAGTACGCGCGCGTGGGGGAGGTGGGGGGGGACAACGACCATGACCTCGACCCCCACGACCACGACAGCCACAACCATGCCGCCAGCTCCGTGGTGGGCAGGCTTCCGCGCGCGCGGGAGAGTCCCCCTGCGCGGAAGCAGCAGTACCAGCAGCAGCAGCAGCAGCAGCAGGGGGGGTGCCTGGGGTGGCGTTTAAGACGGAGGCTGCGCGCGCTGCTGCTGCTGCGCTGGATGAGGAAATGGCGGGGGGCGGGGGGAGTGGTGTTGGGGAGGTGCGGAGGCCACGACAGGAGGCTGCTGCGCCTTTGTGCTCTGTGAGTGTGGGAGTGAGATGGGGAGAGTGGGAGTGGGCGTGGGTGGAAGTGAGTGAGTGTGGGATTGAGATTGTGAAAGTTGGGGGTTCCGCGGAAGCCACAGCAACAGCGGGTGCCCGGGGTGGCGTTTAAGACGGAGGCGGCGCGCGCTGCTGCTGCGCTGGAAGAGGAAATGGTGGGGGGTGGCGCGGGGAGTGGTGTGGGGGAGGTGCGGAGGCCACGAGAGACTGCTGCTGCGCCCTGGTGCTCCGTGAGTGGGGTAGTGAGAGGGGGAGAGCGGAGGGGATTGTGATTTTTTTCATGGGGATGGGGAGATTCGGTGTGGCACTTTCTCTCCCCCACCCCGTCCCCGTTCCCCTCCCCCTCCCCTCTCTCACTGGCCACCTGTTTCTGGTCGCTCGTTTCTCTCACCCCCTCCCTCTTCCGAACACTTCCATTCTTTGAACACATGATAGAAAGGTCTCTGTCTTGCTCTCTTTCTCCCTTTCCTCTCCCCCTTTCCTCTCCCCCTTTCCTCTCCCCCTCACCTCTCCCCTTCCCCTCCCCCCCTCCCCTCTCCCCCTCACCTCCCTCCCTTCTTCCCCTCCCCTCTTCCCTCCCATCTCCCCCTCCCCTCCCCCCCTCCCCTCCCCCCCTCCTCCCTCCTTCTCCCTCTTCCCCGACCCTACTCATCAGAAGGCCACCTGTCTCTGGGTGCTCGTCGCTCTCGCGCTCTCCATCACACTGACTCAGGTGAGTGGGTGTGTGGACCGGTGGGTGTGTGGACTGGTGGGTGGGTGGGCCCTGGCCCTCTCCTCCTCTCCCCCTCCCCTCTATCTCATCAGAAGGCCACCTGTCTCTGGGTGCTCGTTGCTCTTGCGCTCTCCATCACACTCACTCAGGTGGGTGGGTGGGTTTGTCGAATGCCATGACACCTGGCTTTCAGGTGTTTCAGGTGGGTGAGTTGGCTTTCAGGTGTTTCAGGTGGGTACGTCTTCTCCCACATTTATTTGTTTATTTATTTAAGACCATCATTTTCGTCTTAAATTCGCCTCTGCCTTCCTTGCTCTCCACCTGCTTGTCTTTTCCCCCGAACCCTCTCCTCCTTCGTCTCCCCACCCACAGCTTCTCATGGGCATGTGACTCAATATGCCGCTTTGTTTTCCTTCTCCCCCTCAAATCCCTCCCCCGTTCCTCCCCAACCCACCCACAGCTCCTCATGGGCATGTGCAGCTACAACCTTCGCTTCAAGGGCGCATGGGTCATGGGCCGGTTAAATAAGTCTAAGCTGCCTCTCTGCTCCCCTCTTACTCCTTCCTGTGACCCATGCCCCCTCCCCCTTTCCTCCCCACCCACAGCTTCTCATGGGCATGTGCGGCTACAACCTTCGCTTCAAGGGCGCGTGGGTCACTGTCGTGTACGATGTGAGTGGCTTTTGGGAAATATCTGAAGCGCACAGGTCACCCTTGCTTGCCTTCTTTTGAGGCGCCTCAAAAGTCGCTTCAATCACGGGCGCGTGAGTCACTGTAGCGTACGATGTGAGTGGGCTTTTGAGCATACTAGAAGGGACTCTCGTTTACAACATGGGTGGCACTAGCTTGTCTGCTACGCTACACTCACGCTGTTCCTGCTGCTTTGCGGTGGTTCAAACCCCACCGCAAACCCAGAGAGCGCAGCGTGTGCAAGACCTACCTACCAGCCACCCTTTCCCCTCCCGGCATCCTCTCCCTTCCTCTTTGGAAGTCTTTTGAGACGTCTCAAGAATCCAGAGAGCGCAGCGTGTGCAGCACCTACCTACCAGCCATCTTTCCTCTCCCAATGTCCTCTCCCTTCCTCGTTGCAAGAAGCTGTTCGCCACATTTTCTGCTCCTTCTTTTTCCCAACCCTATTCTTCCCTTTCCCCCTCATCGCTCTTCGTGTCCCCAACCCTGTTGTTCCCTCCCCTCTGCCCTCCCCCATCGCAGCCCAGCACGCGGGCACAGATAACGGAGTCGGTGGTGGGTTTGGAGCACACTAGGCCCTCTGTCAGCCCCACCTCCCCTCTCTCTCCCTGCTCCTTCCCCCCCACAACCCTGTTCTTTCCCCCTTATTGCAGCCCAGCACGCGGGCACAGACAACGGAGTCGGTGACGAGTTTGGAGCACAGCATGTATGACAACTCAGGTGCGCATGGTGATGACGTGTCACGTGTGTGTGGATGATGACGTGTCACGTGTGTGTGGATGATGACGTGTCAGGATGGATGATGACGTGTCAGGCTGTGTGATGGGCTGGGCTGCCTATCCGTGGCTGAAGGTGGGTATTTCATCCATGCACGGCGATTTGCACCACTCACAACGATTTGCGTCGCAGCACTCACACGTCGGGGGAGATAGATGTTGTATCCTCGATATAACTTCTTGCCCCTGCCCGGCCCCCCTTTCCCTTTTTGCTGCTCATCACCCCCACGGCACGAGCAGGCGTGTTCCAGGTGAGGTTTGACTCGCTGGAAGAGGAGGAAATTCGCCAAATCAGGTGCCCCCTCTCCCCATCCCACCCCACCCCACCCTCACCCCACCCTCACCCCACCCCACGAACAGGCGTGTTCCAGGTGACGTTTGACACGCTGGAGGAGGAGGAGGAGATCCCCCCTCCCTTTGCCTTGCCTGCATGCATGCTAAACACCTTTTCCCGCTTCTCCTGCATGCGTTCCTTCCCCCCCACGCCATGCCACCCCATGTATAGGTTTGTGTGTTCCAGGTGACGTTTGACACGCTGGAGGAGGAGATCCGCGAGATCAGGTGCCCGCTCTCCCCGCGACTCCAACCCACCCCACACCACCACACACCCCACTTCACCCCACCCCACCCCACCCCACCCCACCCCACCCCACCCCACCTACCTCCCCCACCCCACCCCACTCGCAGGCGTGTTCCAGGTGACGTCTGACACGCTGGAGGAGGAGGAGACACACAGCCTCCTTTGTGCAACTGCAACCTTCTCTCACCTTTTCCCCCCTTCCACCCCACCCCACCCCACCCCACCCCACGCACAGGCGTGTTCCAGGTGACGTTTGACACGCTGGAGGAGGAGATCCGCGAGATCAGGGACCAGCTCAACGGCAAGCAGGTATTTGCACGGTGCACATGGGTGCTGATGGGTGCTGATGGGTGCTGATGGGTGCTGATGGGTGCTGATGGGTGCTGATGGGTGCTGATGGGTGCTGCTGGTTGCAGGTGGGTTGTATCTGTGCTTGTTTCCCAACACTCTTGTGGGACCAGGGACCAGCTCAGCAGCACCAGAAGGCGGGAGCCAGACCAGCAGCGCCAGTCCCCCCCACCATACAGCTAGCAAAGCTGAGGGTGCAGGCGGCTTTTGAGGCGCCTCAAAAGCCGCCATACAGCTAGCGATGCTCAAGTTGCAGGCGGAAGAGCTGTCGTCCCAACACGCCCTGCTGCCCTTCTCCCGTGCCATTCCCCCCTTCTCATTCCCCACTTCGACTGCCCGTCCCGTGACTCCTCTCCCCACCTCACCAGAAGAAGGCAGGAGCCAAGCCAGCAGCGCCAGTCCCCCCAACTAGCGAAGCTCACGGTGCAGGTGGAGGAGCTGTCGTCGCAACACGCCCTGCTGCCCTTCTCCTGTCCCATTCCCCCCTTCCTTTTTCCCTCTTCCCCCTCCCTGTCCCTCCCCTGTCCCCCTTCACCACCAGAAGACGGGAGCCAAGCCAGCGGGCCCAGTCCCCCCCGTGGTGCAACTGGCGAAGCTCAAGGTGCAGGTGGAGGAGCTGTCGTCGCAACACGCGCTGCTGCGTGGCAAGCTGGACTCCCTTGTTGCCGCCGCTGGGGGTGCTGGTGGTCCCGGGGAGAACAGTACTGCTGCTGGGGGGACCGCTGCTGCTGCTGCCGCTGTGGCTGTGGCTGCTGCTGCTGAAGGGAGTGCTGCTGCTGTGGGTGTAAACGGCACGAGTGGGGTTGCTGCTATGCAGGCGGTGGGGAAGCTGCTGGAGCCGCTGAAAGCGCGGGTGCAGCGCGGTGAAGAGCGGTTGAAGGCGGTGCAGGAGAGGGTTGACGTGGTGGAGAAGGAACTGGCGGATAGCACGGAGGTGCTGCAGCAGCTTCAAGTGGAGGTGACCACTGGTGGGGGGAAAGGTGAGTGAGACCCTTTTCCATCTCCTTCTCCCACACTCTCTTTCTCCCACACTCTCCCTCTCCCTCTCCCTCTCCCTCGCTCTCTCCTGGATCAGCATTCTCCCAGAATGGTTTTCGGAGAAGGTGAGCTGCCACGCAGTGCCTTTTGAGTCGACTCAAAAGTCATGTGAGCTGCCACGCACTGCGGGCGGACAGCACGGAGGTGCTGCAGCAGCTGTAGGTGGAGTGGAGGTGGTCATTGGTGGGGGGGAAAGGTGAGAGGGACTCTTCTCTCCTTCTTATTCGCTTCTCGATAAACTTTCTCTTCAACAATGCTTTCCCAATGCTCTCCGGATAAGAACTCTTCTTTCTCTCTCCTCCATTCCCCATCTCGTTCCCCCTTCTCTCCCCACTCACTCTCCGTTTTTCATCCTCTCATTCTCCCCTCTCTCTCCTCTTCTTCTCCCTTTTCTCCTCTAGTTTTCCCCTTTTCTCCTATTGTTTTCCTTTTTCTCCTCTTTTCTTTTTGTCAGTGCATTCTCTCCCTCCTCCCCCCTCACATTCACTCACGCTAGACCCAGCAGCAGCAGGAATTGCAGCTGCAGAAGGTCCGGTCGGCAACCACAGCACTTGTGAGTCGACTCAAGAGGTGACTTTTGAGTCGACTCAAGAGGTGACTTTTGAGTCGACTCAAAAGGCAGCAGCAGGAATTGCAGCTGCTGAAGGTCCGGCCGGCAACCACAGCACTTGCAACACCCAGCGAGCGTGTAGCAACAGTGGTTCCTCTCGTTCCCCCTTTTCTCCTCTTATCTCCCTTCTGTTTACTCGCCTTCTTTCCCTCTACCCCAACCACTCACACCCACCCACAGTCACGCCAGACCCAGCAGCAGCATCCGGTGCAGCAGCAGCAGCAGAAGGCTCGGCTGCAACCACAGCAGCACTTGCCACACCCAACGAGCCTGAAACGGTGGTCACTCCCCCTTATGCTCCCGTTTCTCCTCTTATTCTCCCTTCCCATTTTCATACTGTTTCCCCCTACTCCCCTCGCACCCTCCCTCTCAGTCACGCCAGACTCAGCAGCAGCATCCAGTGCAGCAGCAGCAACAGAAGGCCCGGCTGCAACAACAGCAGCACTTGCCACACCCAACGAGCCTGCAGCAGCGACGGTCGTTGCAGCACCAGACGAGCCTGCTGCTGTTGTCATTCCCGAACCAACCGAACCTGCAGCAGTGGTTGTTCCAGAGCCAACCGAACCTGCAGCAGTGGTTGTTCCAGGTCCCTCTGAAACTCCTGGCCCTGCTGCTGGTACTGTTGTGCCAGCACAAGGTGGGGCGGAGAATGCTGCTTCTGCTTCTGCTGCTGCTGCTGCTGCTGCTGCGATGGGAGGGAAGGGTGGAGGGAAGGAGGGCGAGGAGGAGGCGGAGGGGGAGGGGGAGGAGGGGGAGGGGAAGGATGATGCTGACTTGGGTCCTCCAGAGGATTACCCTGGGGAAGGGGAAGTTGAGGAGGAGGGAGAAGAGGAGGGAAAGGAGGAGGAGGAGGGAGAGGAGGAGGGAAAGGAGGGGGAGAAGGGAGGGGAGGAGGGAGGACAGAAGGGAGGAGAGGTTGAAGCAGGGGAGGCAGAGGTTGGGAAGAAGAGTGCTGGGACTGCAGGGGAGACAGAGGCGGGAGGTGAGGAGGAGGAGGGCGAGGAGGGGGAGGGGGAGGAGGCGGAGGCAGGGGAGGAAGGGGAGGAGGGGGAGGAGGAGGGGGAGGATGAGCCACCTGCAACGCCGGGGGGGATAGATGTGGCAGAGGTGCAACAGTGCGGCGATGAGGTGAGTCGATGGGAGGCAGTGGTAGTGAATGGTGGTGAGCGGTGGTGATGGTGATTGGATTGGAGTGCTTGGGAAGGATGAGCCACCAGCAACACCGGGAGGCATAAATGTGGCGGAGGTGCAACAGTGCGGCGATGAGGTGAGACGATGGGAGGCAGTGGTAGTGAATGGTGGTGAGGGGTGGTGAGTGGTGGTGATGGTGATAGTGATGGTGATTGGAGTGCTTGGGGAGGAGGAGTTACCAGCAACACCGGGAGGCATAGATGTGGAGGAGGTGCAGCAGTGCGGCAATGAGGCGAGACGATGTTTGGATGCACGGTAGTAGTGGTGATGATGAGGGGAAAAACGTGGGACAGTGGGAGGGAGGGATGGAAGGGAATCGTCAAAACAGGCACTCCAATCTCCTTCAACATCACCATCTGTCTCTCCTAACATCCTGTGACCTGTCCCCCCCCCTGTTCCCCTCATTTCCCCCCATTTCCCCCCGTCTGTTGAACTGAGCCCACTCGTGTTGAGCGCTCCTTCTTTTCTTTTCCTCCCTTTGCCCGCCCTTCCTGCTCTTGACTCTCCCGTCTCAACCCCTTTCATGGATCCCATGCCTTCTCCACCCCACTCATCTTTTTAATTCCCCCCCCCCCATCCATTTTTCCCCCACTCACATCTTCTCTTCCCCTTCACCCCCACTCATCCCCCCTACACCCTCTCATCCCCCCTACACCCTCTCATCCCGGCCACACCCTCTCATTCCTCTCACACCCTATCATCCATCCATGCCATGCCAGGTTCTCGACCTGCCACCAGAGGCCAAGGCATGGAAGCAGCGTTCTCTTGTGCAGATCACACCAGACCTGCAGCTATTCAGGTGAGCGCCTGCTGCTGCTGTTGCTGCACTGCTGCGTTGCGGATTCCCTTGTTCTCGTTCGCTGCACAGCATGCCGGAACTCTCCTGTGCAGATCACATCGGACCTGCAGCAGTTGAGGTGAGCGCTGCTGCGTTCGTTGCGTTTGCCGCGTTTGCACGTGACAAAGAAAGAAATGCCTTGAGATGAGACCTCTCGAAGCATCTCACCGCAACAGCTTCTCCCCCATGAAAGGAGGGTGCTTTTGAGACGTCTCAAAAACCTTCCCCAGACTGAATGCTTTCGTGCCCCCCTCACCTCCCCCTTCCCTCCCCTTCCCTCCCCTTCCCTCCCCTCGTCCCTCCCTGCTCTCCCCCATCTCCTTCCTTCTACCCCCACAGTGCATATCGCTACAATCCGCACACCATAGCACTCGTGGGCCTGCTCTCTCCAGCCGTGCCCACTCTCCCACTCAACAACTGCTTCTTCCGCCAGTCTGACGGCTCCCATGCCCCTCCTCTCCTCCCTACTCCCTCTCATCCTCTCCTTCCTCCCTTCTCCCTCTCCCCCGTCCTGCTCTCCCCTCTCTTCCCCCACAGTGCATACCGCTACAATCCGCACACCATAGCACTCGTGGGCCTGCTCTCTCCCGCCATGCCCACTCTCCCTCTCGACAACTGCTACTTCCGCCAGTCAGACGGCTCCCAGCCCATCGCAGGCTCGCTGCTGCGCCTGCAGGTGGAGGTGAGGCGAGGCTGCTGGGGTGGTGGGTTGGGTTGGAGGGTGAGACGTAAAGAGGTTGGTTGCTGGATTGGGTGGGCTGGTGGGTGGGGGTATGAAGGGGGGTGCGCATCAGGCAGTGTGTTGGTCATGGGTATTGGTGAAACCGCCTTTCCCCCTACTCATCCACCCCTCTCTCCTTTCCCCTTTCCCTCCCCTCTCGCTCTCCCCACCCTCCCTCGCTCCCATTAAGAACACCTCGGCACTGGTGCTGAGATTTGAAGGCCACATTCCATTGACCCACCATCGGCACTACCGACCCACCTTCCCCCTCCTTTCCCCCCTCCTTTCCCCCCTCCTTTCCCCCCTCCTTTCCCCCCTCCTTTCCCCCCTCCTTTCCCCCCTCCTTTCCCCGCTCCCTCCGCCCCACTTTCCCTCGCTTCCCCCTCAGAACACCTCGGCAGTGGTGCTGAGATTTGAGGGCGACACTGCCATTCCCCCCTGTGGGGGTTACCTTGAGTGCACTGCTGCTGCTGCTGAGGGTGCCGCTGCTGCTGGTGGGGCGAAAGTGGTTGTGTACACTGAAGGCCGAGGGGATGTGAGTGAGAGGAAAGGAACGTATGATGAGGGGAGGCAAGGCGAGAAGAGAAATTTTCAAGGGGGGGACATGGGAAGTGGTTGTGGAAGGCCGAAAGGAGGTGAGTGCATGGGAAGGGGAAAGAATTTTCTTTATTTTTTTCCTCCCATCTTTCCTGCATTCCTGTGCTTCCCCACAACTCTCGACCACCCTCAACTCCCCCCGGTCACCCCTCCCCATGCTCCTCACCATTCTATCACTCCTCATAACAAACCGTAGTGTCGTTGGTAGACTGTAAGCTGATCTAGAACAAAAGGTCAGCACAGAAAACGACTCCACTGGGGATCGAACCCAGAATCTCTGGTTCCGTAGACCAGCGCCTTATCCATTGGGCCATGGAGTCACAGATATTTTGACTTATTAAACACCCCTCACCAGCGCCTTATTTTGACCAGCGCCTTATTGAACACCCCTCACCTCGCTCCTCGTAACAAGCAATGGCATCTCCTTTCCCTTCTCTGCACCCCTTTTGTCCCACCCTTCCTTTCCACAGCTCATCACCCTGTCTTCACCCCTTCCTTTCCCCTCGCAATCTGCTCGCTCCCCTTCTTCTTCCGTGCCTCTTTTCCTTGATTCTTTCTCTTCCCCCACAGCTCTCCACACCCCCGCACCCCCCCTCCCCCCCCCTCACCATCTGCTCGCTCCTCACTCACACACAAAGTTTCCCTTTTCCTCCCTTGTGCCCTCTGCATCCCACTCTTCCCTCCTTCCCTCTGTCCCTCCCTTCCACACCTCTCCACACCCCCATCATCCGTCCCCACGTCCTTCACCATCTGCTCGCTCCTTAAATAAAGCAGCATCTTCTTTACCTTGCCTGCACCCGTTGTACCCCACTATCCCTCCCTTCCCCACAGACCCCTCTCGCCCCTCCCTATGCCGCTCACCATCTGCTCGCTCCTCATAACTAACGGGTTTCCTTTTCCTTCCCTGCACTGCACCCTTTTCATTTCATCCCACTGTTCCCTTCCTTCCCTTCCCTGCAGCTTTCCACCCCCCCCACCCCTCCCCACGACGCTCACTATCTGCTCGCTGCTCATATGTACCCTTCTCTCGTCCCACTCTTCCCTCCCTTCCTCAGCTCATCAACCCCTTTTCTTCCCTCCCCGACCCCTCCTTCCCTTCTCCACAGCTCTCCACCCCGCCCTCACCCCTCCCCACGCCCCTCACCATCTGCTCGCTGCTCATAACAAACGGCGTGTCGCCGCCGCGCCTGCGCGAGTGGCTGGACTACCACCGGGTGGCGGCGGGGGCAGCGAGCTTTGTCCTGTACCGGCACAGCAAGAGCCACTGGCCGACAGAGCTGCGGCAGGCCGTGGGAGACTATGAGGAGATGGGGATGGCGGAGGTGACAGATATTGTTGGGGCAGAGAAGGAGCAGGAGAAGGTGAGTGAGATGAAGCAGCAGAGAGGGAGCTGTGTGTTTTGTTGTTGAGGGGAAGTGTGTCACTGCACGAGCACAGGGCAAGCAAGGCGGTGTTTGGGTGGGGAGTGAGTGGTATGAGGAGATGGGCATGGTGGAGGTGAGAGGCACAGCAAGAGGCACAGCAAGAGGCACAGCAAGAGGCACAGCAAGAGGCACAGCAAGAGGCACAGCAAGAGGCACAGCAAGAGGCACAGCAAGAGGCACAGCAAGAGGCACAGCAAGAGGCACAGCAAGAGGCACAGCAAGAGGCACAGCAAGAGGCACAGCAAGAGGCACAGCAAGAGGCACAGCAAGAGGCACAGCAAGAGGCACAGCAAGAGGCACAGCAAGAGGCACAGCAAGAGGCACAGCAAGAGGCACAGCAAGAGGCACAGCAAGAGGCACAGCAAGAGGCACAGCAAGAGGCACAGCAAGAGGCACAGCAAGAGGCACAGCAAGAGGCACAGCAAGAGGCACAGCAAGAGGCACAGCAAGAGGCACAGCAAGAGGCACAGCAAGAGGCACAGCAAGAGGCACAGCAAGAGGCACAGCAAGAGGCACAGCAAGAGGCACAGCAAGAGGCACAGCAAGAGGCACAGCAAGAGGCACAGCAAGAGGCACAGCAAGAGGCACAGCAAGAGGCACAGCAAGAGGCACAGCAAGAGGCACAGCAAGAGGCACAGCAAGAGGCACAGCAAGAGGCACAGCAAGAGGCACAGCAAGAGGCACAGCAAGAGGCACAGCAAGAGGCACAGCAAGAGGCACAGCAAGAGGCACAGCAAGAGGCACAGCAAGAGGCACAGCAAGAGGCACAGCAAGAGGCACAGCAAGAGGCACAGCAAGAGGCACAGCAAGAGGCACAGCAAGAGGCACAGCAAGAGGCACAGCAAGAGGCACAGCAAGAGGCACAGCAAGAGGCACAGCAAGAGGCACAGCAAGAGGCACAGCAAGAGGCACAGCAAGAGGCACAGCAAGAGGCACAGCAAGAGGCACAGCAAGAGGCACAGCAAGAGGCACAGCAAGAGGCACAGCAAGAGGCACAGCAAGAGGCACAGCAAGAGGCACAGCAAGAGGCACAGCAAGAGGCACAGCAAGAGGCACAGCAAGAGGCACAGCAAGAGGCACAGCAAGAGGCACAGCAAGAGGCACAGCAAGAGGCACAGCAAGAGGCACAGCAAGAGGCACAGCAAGAGGCACAGCAAGAGGCACAGCAAGAGGCACAGCAAGAGGCACAGCAAGAGGCACAGCAAGAGGCACAGCAAGAGGCACAGCAAGAGGCACAGCAAGAGGCACAGCAAGAGGCACAGCAAGAGGCACAGCAAGAGGCACAGCAAGAGGCACAGCAAGAGGCACAGCAAGAGGCACAGCAAGAGGCACAGCAAGAGGCACAGCAAGAGGCACAGCAAGAGGCACAGCAAGAGGCACAGCAAGAGGCACAGCAAGAGGCACAGCAAGAGGCACAGCAAGAGGCACAGCAAGAGGCACAGCAAGAGGCACAGCAAGAGGCACAGCAAGAGGCACAGCAAGAGGCACAGCAAGAGGCACAGCAAGAGGCACAGCAAGAGGCACAGCAAGAGGCACAGCAAGAGGCACAGCAAGAGGCACAGCAAGAGGCACAGCAAGAGGCACAGCAAGAGGCACAGCAAGAGGCACAGCAAGAGGCACAGCAAGAGGCACAGCAAGAGGCACAGCAAGAGGCACAGCAAGAGGCACAGCAAGAGGCACAGCAAGAGGCACAGCAAGAGGCACAGCAAGAGGCACAGCAAGAGGCACAGCAAGAGGCACAGCAAGAGGCACAGCAAGAGGCACAGCAAGAGGCACAGCAAGAGGCACAGCAAGAGGCACAGCAAGAGGCACAGCAAGAGGCACAGCAAGAGGCACAGCAAGAGGCACAGCAAGAGGCACAGCAAGAGGCACAGCAAGAGGCACAGCAAGAGGCACAGCAAGAGGCACAGCAAGAGGCACAGCAAGAGGCACAGCAAGAGGCACAGCAAGAGGCACAGCAAGAGGCACAGCAAGAGGCACAGCAAGAGGCACAGCAAGAGGCACAGCAAGAGGCACAGCAAGAGGCACAGCAAGAGGCACAGCAAGAGGCACAGCAAGAGGCACAGCAAGAGGCACAGCAAGAGGCACAGCAAGAGGCACAGCAAGAGGCACAGCAAGAGGCACAGCAAGAGGCACAGCAAGAGGCACAGCAAGAGGCACAGCAAGAGGCACAGCAAGAGGCACAGCAAGAGGCACAGCAAGAGGCACAGCAAGAGGCACAGCAAGAGGCACAGCAAGAGGCACAGCAAGAGGCACAGCAAGAGGCACAGCAAGAGGCACAGCAAGAGGCACAGCAAGAGGCACAGCAAGAGGCACAGCAAGAGGCACAGCAAGAGGCACAGCAAGAGGCACAGCAAGAGGCACAGCAAGAGGCACAGCAAGAGGCACAGCAAGAGGCACAGCAAGAGGCACAGCAAGAGGCACAGCAAGAGGCACAGCAAGAGGCACAGCAAGAGGCACAGCAAGAGGCACAGCAAGAGGCACAGCAAGAGGCACAGCAAGAGGCACAGCAAGAGGCACAGCAAGAGGCACAGCAAGAGGCACAGCAAGAGGCACAGCAAGAGGCACAGCAAGAGGCACAGCAAGAGGCACAGCAAGAGGCACAGCAAGAGGCACAGCAAGAGGCACAGCAAGAGGCACAGCAAGAGGCACAGCAAGAGGCACAGCAAGAGGCACAGCAAGAGGCACAGCAAGAGGCACAGCAAGAGGCACAGCAAGAGGCACAGCAAGAGGCACAGCAAGAGGCACAGCAAGAGGCACAGCAAGAGGCACAGCAAGAGGCACAGCAAGAGGCACAGCAAGAGGCACAGCAAGAGGCACAGCAAGAGGCACAGCAAGAGGCACAGCAAGAGGCACAGCAAGAGGCACAGCAAGAGGCACTACGGAGCTGCGGCAGGCTGTGGGGGTGTATGAGGAGATGGGGATGGCGGAGGTGACAGATATTGTTGGGGCGGAGAAGGAACAGGAGAAGGTGAGGATGGCCAGGGGGGTGGTGGGGATGAGGGGGGTGGTGGGGATGAGGGGGTTGGTGGGGATGAGGGGGGTGGTGGGGATGAGGGGGGTGCATGTTGGTGCATGAGCTCTGGGCAAGCAAGGAAGTGGGGGACTATGAGGAGATGGGGATGGCGGAGGTGACAGATGTTGTTGGGGCACGTGCAAGGGCTTTTGTACCAGAGTGTGGGGTGCAGGGAACATGCAAAGATGCACGCAAAGATGCATGCAAAGATGCATGCACTTGCAAGGGTGTGGAGGGTGTGCGTGCGTGCGTGCGTGCGTGCGTGCGTGCATGCACGGATGCGCGTGGTGGTGGTGCCTCTTCTCTTTTGAGAATTCTCAAAAGTGGTGCCTCTTCTCCTGTACAGCACTTTCTCGCACTACAGGACTGCCTCTACCGCACCTCCCTCTCACGTCTCCTCCGCCCTTTCTCCCCCTCCCATCCACCCTTTTGTTTTCCAAGCCGTTCCCCCTCCCTTCCTCCCTTTTGTTTTCCAAGTCGTTCGTTTCCCTTCCGCCCTTTCGCCCCCCTCCCCCTTCTCCCCCCCCCAACCACAGATCCTCGCCCTGCAGGACTGTCTCTACCGCACCGCCCTCTCCTCCGCCTGGACTCTCCCCCTAGACCTCGACGAGTACCTCTCCGCCTCGCCCCCCGTTTCCTTCCCCGCACTAATTCAGTTCCCCACATTTCCTCCCAACCCCACTCCAGATCCTCGCCCTGCAGGACTGTCTCTACTGCACCTCCCTCTCCTCCGCCTGGACTCTCCCCCTAGACCTCGACGAATACCTCTCCGCCTCGCCCCCCGCCACGCTCCCCTTTGTAACTTGTACTCATTTTCCTTCCCCGCTTTCACCCCCCTGCCTCCCATTTCCCCCACATTTCTTTGCCACCCCACATTTCCCTATCACCACCCAAGCCAGATCCTCGCCCTGCAAGACTGTCTCTACCGCACCTCCCTCTCCTCCGCCTGGACCCTCCCCCTAGACCTCGACGAATACCTCTCCGCCTCGCCCCCCGCCCCGCTCCCCTCGCTCCTCTCCGCCTCCTCCGCCTCCTCCGCCTCTTCCCTCGCCGCCTCGCCCTACCTTTCCCTGGGTGCAGTGCGGTGGAGCACGGAGGTCTGCCTGGGGGAGGCTGATGTGGTGAAGGTGGAGAGGGAAGGAATTGGGGGGGTTGCAGGAGAGGCAGATGCAGCTGGTGGTGATGGGGATGGCAGGGGCAACAGCAGCAGCGCTGCTGCTGTGTTTGCGGTTGAGAGGGCCGTGTTTAGAGAGGCGGCTCCTGTGTGTAATGCTGATGCGGCAGGGGGGGCGGCAGAGAGTACGAGGAGGGGTGGATGCAGCATTGTGCGAGGGCGATGCGGGGACCCGCCGAGTCATTGTCAACCCGCGAAAGGTGAGCGAGGGTGTGAGTGGTGGGGACAGGGGTAGGTTATGGGTTCATGGGAGGGGCAATACTGGAAGGGCGGTCCCCCGATGTCGCATGGCTCGTTACTTTTGAGCCGACTCAAAAGTCACAGGGGCGGGTTATGGGTTCACGGGAGGGTCAGTACTGGAAGGGCGGTCCCAAAAGTCCCTTTGCTTGCTGCACCCTGCCATACCCCACAAGCCCCAGTTTCTGTTCTTCTCTTCCTTCCTGCTTCGACTCCCTATCCCATCCTTCATCCCGTCCCTCCTCTCTCGCTGCACCACGCCACGCCCCGAAAGGATGGCACCACCTCCCCCAATGCCAACATGCAGAACGCAGAACAGCAATCCCTCAGTCCCTCAATCCATTGCATCGCGCACGCAGAACGTGATGCAATGGATTGCCGCTCCCTCAATGCCAACATGCACCACGCTGCTCAACATCCCCTTCCCCACTCCTCGCCCTACCCCATCCTTCTCCCCCAGGTGTCTCTCCTCGCCCTCCACCACCCCATACCTACCAAGGGCAGCACCACTCTCACCACCAACACACAGGCGCGAGTCAACCAATTCAATTTGTTTAGGGCCTCTTCTGCCCCTCTCTGGACTGTAATCCCTGCCCCCCTTCACCCCACCGCATGCCCTCCCTTCTCCTCCAGGTGTCTCTCCTCGCCCTCGACCACCCCATACCCCCCCAAGGGCGGTGCTACTTTGAACGCCAACACACAGGCGCGGATCAACCGCTTTCCCAGCCTCTCAAGCGTCAAGCAGGCGGGACGGCTGTGCAGCAGCGAGGTGCCACACACAGGCGATGCTGCTGCCACACAGGCGACGCTGCTGCCACACAGGCGACGCTGCTGCCACTGCTGTTGATGCTGCTGCTGTTGTTGGTTTCTCACTTGGTCTAGAACTTGCCTCTTTCTGTTCCCGTGTCCCCTGTTATCGCCAGGTGTCCCTGCTTTCACTGCACCACCCCATACCCCCCAAGGGCGGTGCTACTTTGGACGCCAACGCACAGGCGCGAGTGAACCGCTTCTCGGGTCTCTCAAGCGCCAAGCAGGCGGGGCGGCTGTGCAGCAGCGAGGTGCCGCAGACAGGCGACGCTGCTGCCGCTGCTGCTGGCGCTGCTGCTGGTGGTGATACAATATTCAGTGGGGCCAACACTCGCCTCTTTCCTCTCCCCATCTCCGCCCTTCTCCTCCAGGTGTCCCTGCTCTCACTGCACCACGCCATACCCATCAAGGGCAGCACCCCCCTCAACGCCAACTCCCAGGCGCGGATCAACCGCTTCCCGGGTCTCTCAAGTCTCAAGCAGGCGGGGCGGCTGTGCAGCAGCGAGGTGCCGCAGACAGGCGACGCTGCTGTCGCCGCTGTGGATGCTGCTGCTGCCGGTGCCCCCAGGGGGTCCGTGGAGAGCCTAGAGGTGGCCGAAGGGGCGAGGCTGGCCAGAGAATGCCCCATTGAGAAGAATAGGGAGGTGAGTTGTATTTGCCAAGCAAGGGGTTAGTGTAGGTGGGGTGCGGCAAGGGAGTGTGTACTGGGGAGGGGCGAGGGGAACGGGCTCTAGGCAGGCAGGGAGGCAGTGCAGCAGACAGGCGACGCTGCTGCCGCTGCTGCTGGTGCCCCGAGGGGGTCCGTGGAGAGACTAGAGGTGGCCGAAGGGGCAAAGCTCGCCAGAGAGTGTCCTGTCGAGAAGACTAGGGAGGTGAGAAAAGGGGGAAAGGGGGAAGGCGGGGGTGGTGGGGGAAGGACTGTGTGCAGGGGAAGGGGCAGGGGAATGGGTGTGTGAGGCTAGGGGAGGGTGTGGGGGGCGGCAGTGCAGCAGCGAGGTGCCGCAGACAGGCGACGCTGCTGCCGCCGCTGTGGACCCTGCTGCTGGTGGTGCCCTGCGCGGGTCTGTGGAGAGCCTGGAGGTGGCTGAAGGGGCGAAACTTGCGAGAGAGTGTCCTATTGAGAAGACCAGAGAGGTGAGTCTGATTGGCCTCGCAAGGCGTTAGTGTAGGTGGGGCAAGGGGGTGTATACTGGGAAGGGGGGAGGGAACGGGCTCTAGGCAGGCAGGGAAGCAGTGCCGCAGACAGGCGACGCTGCTGCCGCTGCTGTGGATGCTGCTGCTGCCGGTGCCCCGAGGGGGTCTGTGGAGAGCCTAGAGGTGACTGAAGGCGCCAGGCTGGCCAGACAGTGTCCCGTTGAGAAGAACAGAGAGGTGAGTCTGCCGCTGCTGTGGACGCTGCTGCTGCCGGTGCCCCCAGGGGGTCCGTGGAGAGCCTGGAGGTGGCCGAAGGGGCAAAGCTCGCGAGAGAATGCCCCATTGAGAAGACTAGGAAGGTGAGTTTGACTGGAGAAGGGCACGGGAATGTGTGCTGGGGAGGGGGCAAGGGAATGGGCGTGTGGGGCAGGGAAGGGGGGGTAGGGGCGGCTGTGCCGCAGCGAGGTGCAGCAGAGGGGCGACGCTGCTGCTGCTGGTGCCCCGAGGGGGTCTGTGGAGAGCCTAGAGGTGACTGAAGGGCCGAGGGGAGCGGAGTAGCATCACGTTGGTTGATTGAGGGGAGGGGAGGGGCGCTCTGTTGAGGGTCACACAATGCAAATCGTTTCAAACGTACCATTTGGAAGTATTTCCTGATGTTTCACGCCCTTATTCAGTTTTTTCTTTCCCTGTACGGTCTCTCCCTCCACTCTCTCCTGCTGTGGTCCCTCCTTGCACCCTTCTTATCACGGTTCCTTTATTACCTGATCTTGATCTCCTTCTCTCCTGTGCTGCCTTTGTCAACCGCATGTCACCGCATGTGACTGAATGTGATCGAATGTGACTGCATGTGCCCGCATGTGTGTGTGCAGTGTGCCGTTTCCTTCTCGCCGTGACATTCTGCACCTGGGAGCGGCAGCACTGGAACACACCCAAGAGCAATCCCATCGCATCCCGCCACATCTCACCACGTTGCATCCCATTCCATCGCATCCCATCCCATCCCATCCCATCCCATCCCATTGATGTTACTCGAGTAGATTAACAAGTGTGGAACCATGCATGAGAATCTGATGCTTAGCTTGAAACGAGCACACATCTAAGGTGCCAAGGGCCGATTCGCTTCAGAGGCACCAAACGCTGCAGGGAGGGAGACAAGCACGCGTAATGCTGACGTGGCGCGCATAATGCTGACGTGGCGCGCATCGTGTGGCATGGTGGTACGGCATGGCTCACACCGGCTTTCTGTGTGCACCGATGTGCATCTCAGCAGCTCCTTTTGAGAGCCTTGGGAGCCTTGTTGTTAGCCCACTAGCCCACCCACCTTCATTCAGTCGCTCATTGCTTCATCACCTGAGGCTACAATATTCAAGTTTTAGATCACCCACAACCTTCATGTTATAGATCACCCACAACCTTCATGTTATAGATCACCCACAACCTTCATGTTATAGATCACCCACAACCTTCAAGTTATTATTGATCACCGCTCCTCTTCTCTACCAAACCTGCGTGAACCTTTTGTCAAGATAGGGACGTATGAGTTTAGGAGGGCCTAGGCTTAGGAGCCTAGGCCAAGGGGTGTCGAGGGAGTTGTGCCAAGAGAGTTACGAGAAAGAAGAAGGGGTTTCACTATAGCACACAAGGTACATATAGCAAAGCAACAAAGAAGGTGCACCACCAACTCTTAATAATAATAACTACAGTAACTACAGCACGCAGGGTATATATTGAACATATTGTTTGACACACCCCCTTAGCCTGCGTGCAGTAGAAACTGGTGCAGCCAGCACCCCCTGAACGAGCAAACCAAGCGCTGTGGAAGAAGGCAGAGAAGTGAGGAAGGTGAGAGGAGAGGAGAGAAGAGGAGAGGAGAGGAGAGGAGAGGAGGTGGGGGGCCAGGACCGGCGGACCCGCTTACGAACCTCCTTTTACAAAGGGGAGGTGAGAGAGGGAAGGGAGAGGAGGTGGGCTAGGCGGGCTTGAGCGCGAAAGCTCATAGCGATCCCCCCCCGTTAAGAACCCCCAAGTCCCGATGAGGAGAGGAGGTGGGCTAGGCGGGCATGAGCGCGCACGCTCAATGCGATCCCCCCCCGTTAAGAACCCCCTAGTCCTCACCCCCCTCGTCACTCAACCCCGTCAACCTCACACCTTCCGCACCTGTCTTCTCCCGCCACCCCCTCACCCTTTTCCACTTCTTCCCCCCTCTTAACCTCTCTCCTCCCCCCCCCCCCCTACAGCAACAAATGCTGCAGTGGAGAGAGGAAGAGGGAAGGGAGGGACAGCCTGCTGGAGGTTCACACCCGCCACCCCCACGTCTCCCCTCCCCCCCCCCCCCCACGACTGAAGCCGCGGAAGGGAGGGCGGGAGGGGGGGCAGCGTGAGCAGCTGCCGGCGCTGGCGCTGGCGGCAATCGCAGCTGCTGGCGGTGGCGCTGGCGGTCCGCGCAGGCACTGGCGCTCACGGCTGGCTGCGGCGCTGGCGCTCGCGCTGGCACTGGCGCTCGCGGCTGGCCGTGGCGCTGGCGTCCGCACTGGTGAAGGCGGATCGCGGGGCGACGGGGGCCGCGGGGCGACGAAACGGGGTTCGCGGACGACGGGAAGGGGTGCGCCCCGACGACGGAACGCAGGGCGCCGCGGCGACGGAACACGGGCGCCGCGGCGACGGGAACCGGGCGCCGCGACGACGGAAAGCGGGCGCCGCGGCTACGGGAACGCGGGGCGCCGCGGCGACGGGAATTAGGCGCCACGGCGAACGGGCAGAGCAGAACGCGAGCGACGGGCGAACGGGAAAAAAAAAATTGGTGCATTTCGCGCTGTAGCATAGGCGGGCCCATATCTTACAGAAAATTAGGTCCTAAGACCGTAGTGGCTCTGATAGCATGTCAAGATAGGGACATATGAGTTTAGGAGGGCCTAGGCTTAGGAGCCTAGGCCAAGGGGTGTCGAGGGAGTTGTGCCAAGAGAGTTACGAGAAAGAAGAAGGGGTTTCACTATAGCACACAAGGTACATATAGCAAAGCAACAAAGAAGGTGCACCACCAACTCTTAATAATAATAACTACAGTACCTACAGCACGCAGGGTATATATTGAACATATTGTTTGACACCTTTGTCATTGCGGTGCTCTTAAAGCCCGCGGCCCAAATTGCGGACCGCGCGGGTCAAGTTTTTAAAACTTGACGAAGTTGGTTCTGCAAGCTTTTGAAAAGAAGCGCGGCTGCAATTTGGGACTTTCGGGTCTCACACACTCACACCAGTGTAAACACTAGGGGCTGGCTGGGTTTGGCGAAAAAAACGACTTGAACGAAATCAGTAACGCTCGCCAAAACCCAACCCAGTAAAACTCCCCTCCCGTCAACTTTTTAAAACATGTGCAATTTGGGCTGCCGGCTTTAACTCATACCGTCTGCTCTCCAGGCTTCGAAGGTTCAGATCTGGGACATGCCTCTTATCTTCCAGCAGCAGCCATGGTAGCTTCTGTACTTGCCATCGTTTAAGGATTTATTGTATAAGGATTCAGGACTTATTCTCGCACCGCTTTCACATTCTTTTTCCTCGGCTCAAAAGTCTTTAGGGTGGGAATCTGGGTGAACAAAAAGAGATGATTTCAAATGCCTCAAAGCTCTCAGACATCACAAGGCTGAACATGGCCAGCTGTCTACAGCAGATGAACCCAAGAAACACGTCCCCTTAGAGATCTCTCAGAACGTGCACGTGGAGATGTTATTTTCTCCTGAAGAAGGTGTGCTGATTGTGACGATGGCTCACTTCGCAGGTGAGAGTAGTAGCCTACCTACGGCCTTGTTCGATTGCACTGCTTTCTTTTATACAGCCCTACCATAGTTTTGCCGAGTCGGCCTAGGGTTTCCGAACCTGGGGTCACTACCTTCCAGATGCAACTTGACTTGGTTTAAAGTTTAGGGCTGGCCTCTCGATATCAGGGTGATTCACCCTTATGACCCTTACTATAAGGGCGGGTTTTACGATGCACCCTTTTTTACAAGACTGGTTTTGTTTTCGACCCTTACCAAAAAAAGTGATCGATTGTATGACACTGATATTTCAGAGCTATGTGGTGTAGTAGCACTGATGAAATCGAGTTCGATCTAAGAGAGGATACCAGGATAGGTAGCGTAAAACACATTTCCTACGGCGGATGACCCCGACAGGTATCGAACTTGGGTCCTCCACATAACAACAATGACTCAACACAGAGCAACACTAACACCCTACATAGTATGCTCAGCAAAATTATTCGACAGTTGCTTTAATTTGTTTGCACCCTGATTTTTAAGAGCAGTTCCTGTGAAGCACCCTTACTGAAAGAGTAACATTTGGGTGTTGGCCTTACGATGAAGAGTACCCCAAATCCTATCCAGAGGCCTGGTTTAGGGGTCTGCCCGAACAGCCCAAGTCGCAACAGTCAGAACCGCGTAGTCAACGGATAAAACAAGCGTACACAGTGCGCAATTCAATTGATCTTAGCAAAATCAGATACGAAATAACGTGACACAAAATTCCAAAATAACACGTGTTGAACTTACTGTTCGGTAATTAATAGATGAGAATTTCAAATCCCAGTGTACCCTCGACCATAAATGCGACCAAAAATTTCATTAATGAACCTCTTAGTCAGCCGACCTTACCTGCTCCTCACTCCAATCGCTCCCGCGCTGTGGCTCCTTGTCTCACCAGTCGCGACTGCTGTGGTATTATCGGGTTTCGTTATCCAGTTGTTTTTTTTTTTTTTTTTTCTACTTTTACTTTTGGCTTATTCCAGGGCGCTGCCTTGGGCGCTGTCTTGTTTCCAGTTGGTGTAGTATTAGATATTGTTTTTTTCTAGGCTTTCTACAGTGCTAACAGTTCTTGAGACCATGCTCGAAGTGTTGTAGTTTGTACGTGCCCGTGTTGTGTTCTTGCAGGCATTTATCTAATACTACCATTTTGTACGGTAAGTCTATGTGTTCGTTGCTTCCGGTGCAGCTCCCGTTTTTCTCGTTGATTCACTGGCAGCGTGTACGGTTAGGCAGTCTGTTGATTCTCCGTATCGATCCAATTTTTTGTATGTCTAACAACTTGCGATCCATCGGTGGTTCAGTGTGCTAGCTGAACTTGCAATAGATATGCTATGCGTCATGGTTGGGAGAAGCAACAGGAGCAGCTGTGACAATGGTGTGAACCTTGCAGCATCAATGTTGCCAACATCATGGTTTAGAAGCTAATGATAGTCGTCGACTCAGTATTGTGGTTGTGACAGATTGTGTATAACAGAGTTATATTTATAAATGCAATTTCTGTATTCTTAAACTGCTCACAAACTGAAAGGTGAATCAAAAGAATTGTGCAGGATTTAATGCAAAAAACGTGAACAAAATTTGTCCGATTTTGGACCAAACGAGGATCATTTATGGACCTAGACTGGTCTTCATTTCTTTAGGCATAATTGGTCCAAATTTTGGACAAAAAATGTGTGTCCAACTACACAAAAATTGGTCCAAAATCCGAGGCCAAAATTTGGACTGAATTTGGTCAGTCACACCAGGATTGGAACAATTTTAGACCAATCTCACACCAAACCAGGGGACAATACATTGTGATGAAGTAAGGACCATGATACACGTACAGTTGTACACCACTAACGGTACAGCAGAATTTCCTGCTGCGATTGGTGCGGGGTGGAGATCCCTGCTAGATCGATCACCGACAGATTTATGTCGGTGGGCGCATAGCCTGGGGTGTTCTGTGGAGGTGTTTTCTAGGTTTTGGCGGGTCGACGGTTAGGGCGTGTGTGAATCTAAATGGAGTTCGAAAATAGGTTCATCTTAGAGTGGTAACTAGTTTCGCAGTTGTTCGCAAATTTTTTCGCTGACTCTGGGGTCAAGCTGATCCTGAT